ACCGAACGATGTCCCGCGGGCACCAGGAGCTTTAATGTATTCATGATTGTCTTTTGAGTCTGTATTTCTTTTTCTACTAGAGTTTGTCATTTGAGTCTGTTCTACCGGAGTCTGTATTTCCTTAAAAGTTAGTCAGTTGATTGAGTTTGTATTTTTGTTTGAACTAGAATAGGGATGGTGGAGTCTGTAGTTCTTTTCTGCGTCAGAGTCTGGTAGTTGTTTGGTTTGTCCACTTTGAGTCTTTGTAATAGACGTAGTTGCTATCAATAAAATTGAAATTCCCAAAAATATGTTTGCTTCTACTTTACATTTATTCTTCACGAACTACGCTTGGTCTGATTCACGCGGGGTCGTGATACGTAGGCAATCTCCATAGGATTCGACCGTAACCAAACAATAAAATGGAAAAATAGGAGAGAAAATGCAACAAAAGAGAGCGACAAGAAACAACGGAAAAAATAAAAAGGAAGTGGCACATAGAAATAAGGAAACGCCGGGATGACGCATGCAACCAAGCAACGGCATAATAGAAATGGTTAACTGCTTAGGTGCATTCATTCCCCAATGTGCGGTCATCTATATGTTAATGCCCTAACCGCTAACAAAGTTGTTGTTGATGAGTCCAGGAAAGTGGTTAAGTTGACGGGCATTCTGGCAACCCATCCCTACAACACCCGCTCTAAGGATAAGTCAAACATGGTCAACCAGGAATTGGAAGCAAGCATTGTCGACCCGTCTAGGGAGGAGGAAGTAGTGGACGTTAATGCAATGAAGGAGGAGATGTATAAACTGAAGCAACAAATGGCCGAGATGTACCAGGCCTGGTCGAAGGGACATCCACCACCAACTTATCCTGCTAACCCCACCTACCTCCCACCACTAGCTCAGCCTCAAGATCCTCCCACAGTGAACTCATCACCGCTTTCCCTACTTACCAGCAGTACTACGGAACCACCTCTCAAACACCACCACCTCCACCACCCAAACAAATTCCATGCCCTCCACCACCAACTACTCCTGTGTTTGTGGCTCCCCCACCTGCCGCATTACACAGGTCTTCTAGCGAACCTTTGTTCCAAACCCATGATAACCAGTATTACCCACCCGAAGCCACTTTCAAACCACCAGAGCCATGCCCTTACACTCCCCGCCTTGATCTCTCAGCAGAAGAAGAAAAGCCTCCCAAAAACCCTGAGCAAGAGGAAATGATACGGAAGGTTAAGAGCTTAGAACAGTCATTCCGAAATATGCAGGGGCTCGGAGGACAAGTGAGTGTAGCCTACAAGGACTTGTGCTTGTTTCCTGATGTCCAGTTGCCAGCAGGATTCAAGCTACCCAAGTTTGACCTATATGATGGACATGGTGATCCGGTGGCCCACTTAAGGGGGTTCTGCAGCAAGATGAGAGGAGCTGGAGGAAGGGACGAGTTATTGATGGCTTACTTTAGTCAAAGTCTAAGTGGAGCAGCTTTGGAGTGGTACACATGACAGGATCATGCTCGATGGTACACTTGGGACGATCTGGCCCAAGCATTTCCATGTCATTTGCAGTACAATCTCGAAATTGTCCCGGACCGTCTGTCACTGACTAAAATTGAGAAGAAGCCCGGAGAAAGCTTCAGAGAATATGGTTTCCGGTGGAGAGAGCAGGCGGCAAGAGTCGATCCTCCAATGAAAGAGAGCGAGATGGTTGATTATTTCCTACAGGCTTTGGAACCCACCTACTATGGTCACGTGGTGTCAACAGTAGGAAAATCTTTCAACGAGGTCGTGAAAATGGGAAGTATGGTGGAAGAGGGTCTCAAGTCTAACAAGATTATGAGCTATTCAGCAATCAAAGCAACTACCCAGGCTATTCAGAGCGGCACTGGAGGAGTATTGGGAAAGAAGAAGAAAGAAGAGGTTGCAGTAGTGGAAGCGAGAGCTTGGTCCAGAGGTCCATCACCATATTATCACCAACCTCGCCCTCACCCCCAAACCTACCCACACACCCCATATGGCCCACCGCAGCACTATTACCCACCTCCTGTCCCCAATTTCTCTGTCCACCATGCCCAGACATACCCCCAACCTCCTACCCATGCACAATGGTATGCACCCACCCCACAAAATACTTACCCAGCTCAAAACACCTACCCATCCCCAAGAACCAAAAGAAATCCCACTAGAACCGGCTTTCGACCTAACCTTGCATTTAAGAATGATAGGCTGCAAAAGAAGAAGACTTTCACTCCCTTGGGTGAATCTTACACTAGCTTGTACCACAGATTGAGACAGTTGGGCATGCTGAGTCCGATTGAACCCAAATTTCCAAATCCTCCCCCAAGGAATCTGGACCACTCTGTGAGTTGTGAGTATTGCTCAGGTGCGCCGGGACATGACACAGAAAAATGCTGGCACTTGAAAACGGCCATCCAGGAGCTCATTGAGACCCGCCAAATTGAAGTGCAAGCCCCAGAAACGCCTAACATCACCCAAAATCCATTACCAACCCATCACGAGACCCATATGATTGAGCTAGTCCAAAAGGGAGAGCATAAGAAGCCGTCACAAACCGTAATGATGACCAGGCTAGTGAGGATAGATGAAATGAGAAACTAACAAAGGGGAGAGAATTGATCAAGGTAGAAGAAACAGTTAGCAAACCAGTTGTAGTGATAAAGAAGGAGCTTTTGAGCAGTGTTGCAGAAAAACAAGAACCAGCTAAAGTGGTAGTGCCGGGGGCAGCTGTCAAGCCCGTTGTGATTGTAAAAGGGGCTCGCACAGAGCCGGTTGTCATCAAGCCAGTGACTCAGCTACCAGTAATCAGCGAAAAGGCCGTCCCATGGAATTACGGCCGAGTGACAGTGATGTATCAGGGAAAGGAAGTTAAGGAAGAAGTTTGTGAAACCCATGGGCTGACTCGCTCAGGAAGATGCTTTGCTCCTGACAAGCTGAGAAAGGCTAAAATCACCAAAGATAATCCAGTATCAGTAAAGAAAGCTGTAACTGAAGAAGAGGCAGAAGAATTCTTGAAGAAGATGAAGGCACAAGATTATTCCATTGTAGAACAGTTGAGAAAGACCCCGGCACAGATCTCATTGCTATCATTACTGATCCACTCAGATGAGCACCGCCAGGCATTGATGAAAATTTTGAATGAAGCCCATGTTCCTGATAAGATTTCTGTGAACCATCTAGAGAAAATAGCAAACAAGATTTTTGAAGTCAACAGGGTTACATTTTCTGATGATGAGCTGCCTTTGGAAGGCACTGAACATAATAGAGCACTCTACCTCACGGTGAAATGTGAAGACTCTGTGGTCACCCGGGTGCTAGTTGATAACGGGTCCAGTGCAAACATTTGCCCTCTTTCTACCCTGGAAAAGTTAAAGGTGGACAGTGAGAGAATCCACAAAAATAGTATTTGCATACGAGGATTTGACGGAGGAAGCAAGGACACAGTCGGGGATATAGTATTGGAACTGACGATAGGTCCGGTTGAATTCACCATGGAGTTCCAGGTGCTCGACGTGGCCGTCTCTTACAATCTCTTGTTAGGCCGACCCTGGATCCATGCAGCAAAGGCAGTGCCATCTACCTTGCACCAGATGGTTAAATTCGAGCGGGACAGGCAAGAGATTGTGGTGCATGGGGAAGATAGTTCGTGTACTCTAGGTGGTGCTATTGTGCCTTTCATAGAAGCTGAGGATGACAAAGGCCCATGGGTTTATCAAGTCTTTGATACGGTATCGATTGAAAAGATCCCAGAAGGGAAGTGTATTCATGTGCCAAAGGTAGCTGCTGCATCCGTCATGGTTGCGTCGGAAATGCTGAAGAACGGATTTGTACCTGGAAAAGGCTTGGGTGCTTCTTTACAAGGCATCGTACAACCCGTATCCCTTCCTGCAAACCTAGATACTTTTGGTTTAGGTTTCAAGCCCACTGCTGCAGACATAAGGCGAGCTAGAAAAATGAAAAAGAAAGCATGGACCCTTCCAAAACCTATTCCCCGCCTTTCCCGTTCCTTTGTCAGGCCTGGTACTAAGAAGCGCCTAGCAACAGCAATGCCCAGTGGTATGGTTGATCCCGACAAGGAACTGATCGAGAGGTTTGAAAAGCTGTTTGATGAGGTGAATGTATTGGAGGCCGGAGAGGGTCCAAGCAAGGCAGATGTTCAGTTCGTGGGGCCCCAGGCAAAGCTTAACAATTGGGAAGCAACTTCCTTTCCTACCCGGAGGGAGTCTTGGTAGTTAATTTTGATTTCCTTTCAGTTTAATCTGGGTTATTTCCAAGGTTGTAATTCGGATGCTATGTTCCGTCCGTTTGGATGAGTTAAACCTTGTTATCTTAAATATTAATGAAATGCAATTTCCCTCCTTTTCATTCCTGATAGTTTTTATTTTGTCTTTCTTTTCTTTCTTGTACAGTCCCTTTTACGTTGGTTTCGGTGATGTGTCATGCATAAGGAGTCTTCAGCCCAGTCTTAAATGCCAATCTAACTCAGACATAATAATACAAGAAATTGAGTGTGGTTACGAAATAGAATATGATGATGAGAAAGCTTTTGAGGAAATCAGTAAAGAATTAAGCCATTTTGAAGAAAAACCCAAACCTAATCTGAATGACACAGAGGCAATCAATTTAGGGGATCAGGAGAATGTGCGGGAAACGAAAATAAGTGTCCATTTGGAGCCTCAGCTCAGAGAAGAGATAATTAAAGCACTGTTTGAGTACAAAGATGTTTTTGCATGGTCATATGATGACATGCCAGGTTTAAGCACTGATTTGGTGGTCCACAAATTGCCCACTGACCCAGCATGTCCTCCTGTCAAGCAGAAGCTATGGAAATTTAACATAGACATTAGTGTGAAAATCAAAGAAGAGGTCACCAAGCAGTTTGAGGCAAAGGTCATCCGGGTCACACAGTATCCCACCTGGTTAGCCATTGTTGTGCCTGTGCCAAAGAAGGATGGAAAGACCAGAGTGTGTGTAGATTACCGTGACCTCAATAAGGCAAGTCCGAAAGACAACTTCCCACTACCAAATATCCACATATTGATTGACAATTGTGCCAAACATGAGATTGGTTCCTTCGTGGATTGTTATGCGGGCTATCACCAGATTTTGATGGATGAGGAGGATGCGGAAAAGATGGCATTCATCACGCCTTGGGGAACGTATTATTATAGGGTCATGCCATTTGGGTTGAAGAACGCAGGGGCAACGTATATGAGGGCGATGACCACCATGTTCCATGACATGATACATCGGGAAATTGAGGTCTATGTAGATGACGTGATCATAAAGTCGAGGAAACAATGTGACCATGTCAAGGACTTGAGGAAATTCTTCCAGAGACTCTGCAGGTACAACCTCAAACTTAATCCAGCAAAGTGTGCATTTGGAGTCCCATCTGGGAAGTTGTTGGGATTCGTGGTAAGTCGGTGCGGCATTGAGTTAGACCCGTCCAAGATCAAAGCCATTCAGGAGCTACCACCGCCGAGGAACAAGAAAGAGATGATGAGTTTGCTTGGCAGGTTGAATTACATCAGCAGGTTCATTGCCCAGCTCACAACGACTTCGAGCCCATCTTTAAGCTGCTAAAGAAAGATGCTGCGGTCAGATGGACGAATGAATGTCAAGCAGCATTTGACAAGATTAAGGAGTATTTGGCTAGTCCACCCGTGTTGGTCCCGCCGGAGCCGGGAAGATCCTTGATCTTTTATCTGACAGTTTTGGATAATTCTTTTGGTTGTGTACTGGGGCAGCATGACATCACAGGAAAGAAAGAGCAGGCGATTTACTACCTCAGCAAGAAGTTCACATCATATGAGGTGAAGTACACTCAACTCGAGAGGACGTGTTGTGCCTTAACATGGGTAGCGCAGAAGTTGAAACATTACTTGTCAGCATATACCACCTATCTCATCTCTCGGTTGGACCCGTTGAAGTACATTTTTCAGAAACCCATGCCCACAGGGAGGCCGGCGAAATGGCAAATCTTGCTTACGGAGTTTGATATTGTCTACGTGACCTGGACTGCAATGAAAGCACAAGCGCTGGCTGATCATTTGGCCGAAAATCCAGTTGATGATGAATATGAACCTTTGAAAACATACTTCCCCAATGAGGAGATAATGCATGTTGAAGAATTAGAACGAGTCGAGAAGCCAAGATGGAAACTGTTCTTTGATGGGGCTGCCAATGCCAAAGGCGTCGGGATAGGATCAGTACTGATTTCCGAGACAGGGCAACACTACCCTGTCACTGCTCAACTGCGTTTCTATTGCACCAATAACATGGCTGAATACGAGGCATGTATCTTGGGTTTGAGATTGGCTATAGACATGGGTGTCCAGGAAATCTTGGTCATGGGTGACTCGGATCTTCTGGTACACCAGATTCAAGGTGAATGGGAGACACGAGATTTGAAGCTCATACCGTACCGACAGTGTTTGCATGAACTTTGTCAACGGTTTCAATCAATAGATTTCAGGCATATTCCAAGGATTCACAATGAGGTTGCTAACGCTTTGGCTACTTTGGCGTCAATGTTGCATCATCCAGACAAGGCTTATGTGGACCCATTGCAAATTCAGGTTCGAAATCAGCATGCCTATTGTAATATGGTGGAAGAAGAACTTGATGGTGAGCCGTGGTTCCATGATATCAAAGAATACCTCCGGATGGGAGTGTATCCAACACAAGCTACAGGGGATCAAGAGAGAGCAATACGACGCTTGGCAAGCGGCTTTTTCTTCAGTGGGGGGGTGTTGTACAAGAGAACCCCAGATCTTGGATTATTGAGATGCATGGATGCTAAACAGGCTACAGTTATCATGGCCGAGGTACATGCGGGAGTTTGTGGACCTCATATGAGCGGATATGTATTGGCAAAGAAGATTCTTCGAGCGGGTTATTATTGGCTTACTATGGAACGGGATTGCATCAGTTTCGTGCGCAAGTGTCATCAACGTCAGGTACATGGAGATTTGATTCATTCTCCACCATCTGAATTGCATACAATGTCGGCACCATGGCCGTTCGTTGCTTGGGGAATGGATGTCATTGGGCTGATCGAGCCAGCGGCGTCAAATGGGCACAGGTTCATTCTGGTAGCTATTGATTATTTCACTAAGTGGGTTGAAGCGAAAACTTTCAAGTCTGTGACCAAGAAGGCAGTGGTCGATTTTGTGCATTCGAATATCATCTGTCGGTTTGGGATCCCGAAGGTAATCATCACGGACAATGGGGCCAATCTCAACAGTCATTTGATGGCAGAGACATGTCAGCAATTTAAGATCACGCACCGCAATTCCACCCCATATCGTCCTAAGGCGAATGGAGCGGTCGAAGCAGCTAACAAGAACATCAAGAAAATACTTCGGAAAATGGTAGAGGGGTCCAGGCAATGGCATGAGAAGTTACCTTTCGCCCTTTTAGGTTATCGCACTACTGTCCGCACTTCAGTAGGGGCAACTCCTTATTCACTGGTGTATGGCACTGAGGCAGTAATACCCGCAGAGGTTGAAATCCCGTCCCTTCGGATTATTGCCGAGGCGGAAATTGATGATGTTGAATGGGTTAAAGCCCGCTTGGAACAACTAAGTTTGATTGATGAAAAGAGATTGGCAGCAGTATGTCACGGTCAGTTGTACCAACAGAGAATGGCAAGAGCATATAACAAGAAAGTGCGTCCGCGGAAGTTTGAAGTAGGGCAATTGGTGTTGAGGCGTATCTTACCTCATTGGGCTGAGGCAAAAGGAAAGTTCGCCCCGAACTGGCAGGGGCCATTTGTTGTAACCAGAGTGTTGTCCAATGGCGCATTATATTTGACAGATGTGGAAGGAAAATGTGTAGAAATGGCTATCAACTCTGATGCAGCCAAGCGATACTATGTATGATTTCTTGGTTTAATTGTACTTTATTGCATTTGGCATATTTTTGAGATGACGAAGGTATTTTGTTCTGCTATCCAAACACTTTATCCTTTATTACCCCTTTTGAGCCTCATTTACTTTCTTTCGTACCCCTCTTTCGGAATCAATAACAACTCGGAAGCTCGAGCAAGAAAAATCAGTGAAGAAATAAGAAAACACGGTCCAACGGAAAGAAAAGGAAAAAAGAAAGAAAGAAAAAAAAAGAAAAAAGAAAAAGTCAAAAAGAAAAAAAAAAGAAAAGAAAAATGAAGAAAAGAAAAGAAAGAAAAGAAATGAAAAGAAAGAAAAGAAAGTGGAAGAAAATGAAAGATTGCAACAACAAAGTAATTCCTATGACCTGAACTACGTTTGACTTGATCCCGAAAGGGTACGTAGGCAGCCTCTCCCTGAGGTTCAGTCACATCAAAACAAAATCCCAAAAGTCCCCACGAAAAACTGGGGCAGCAGTTATGGTTGTGCAAGAAAGTTGATTCCGAAAGTTGTAGTTGTGAACCCATATTGAATTGTTTTAGAGCCTTTTATACCCTTTCTTTCTAACCCTATCCAAAAGCTGCATTATGGTCCAAAGAAAGACCTTNATTGTCTTTTGAGTCTGTATTTCTTTTTCTACTAGAGTTTGTCTTTGGGTCTGTATTTCCGTTCTACTGGAGTCTGTATTTCCTTTTCATTAAAAGTCAGTCAGTTGATTGAGTATGTATTTTTGTTTGAGCTAGAATAGGGATAGTGGAGTCTGTAGTTCTTTTCTGCATCGGAGTTTGGTAGTTGTTTAGCCTGTCAGTTTTGAGTTTTTGTAATAGACGTAGTTGCTATCAATAAAATTGAAATTCCCAAAAAATATTTTTGCTTTACATTTATTCTTCACGAACTACGCTCGGTCTGATTCACGTGGGGTCGTGATACGTAGGCAATCTCCATAGGATTCGACTGTAACCAAATAATAAAATGGAAAATGCAAAAAGAGGGAGTGGCAAGAAACAATGGAAAAATAAAATAGAAGTGGCACATGGACATAAGGAAACGCCGGGATGACGCATGCAACTAGGCAAAGGCATAATAGAAATGGTTAACTGCTTAGGTGCATTCATTCCCCAATGTGAGGTTATCTATCTGTTAATTCTCTAACCGCTAACAAAGTTGTTGTTTATGAGTCCAGGTAAGTGGTTAAGTTGACTGGCATTCTGGCAACCCATCCCTACAACACCCGCTCTAAGGATAAGTCAAACATGGTCAACCAGGAATTAGAAGCAAGCATTGTCGACCCGTCTAGGGAGGAGGAAGTAGTGGATGTTAATGCAATGAAGGAGGAGATGTATAAACTGAAGCAACAAATGGCCTAGATGTACCAGGCCTGGTCGAAGGGACATCCACCACAGCCTATCCTGCTAACCCCACCTACATCCCACCACTAGCTCAGCCTCAAGATCCTCCCACAGTGAACTTATTTCTGGCTTTCCCTACTTACCAGCAGTACTACGGAACCACCTCTTAAACACCACCACCTCCACCACCCAAACAAATTCCATGCCCTCCACCGCCAACTACTCCTGTGTTTGTGGCTCCTCCACTTGTCGCATTACACAGGTCTTCTAGCGAACCTTTGTTCTAAACCCATGATAACCAGTATTACCCGCCCGAAGCCACCTTTAAACCACAAGAGCCATGCCCTTACACTCCCCGTCTGGATCTCTCGGCTGAAGAAGAAAAGCCTCCCAAAAACCCTGAGCAAGAGGAAATGATACGGAAGGTTAAGAGCTTAGAACAGTCATTCAGAAATATGCAGGGGCTCGGAGGACAAGTGAGTGTAGCCTACAAGGACCTGTGCCTGTTTCTTGATGTCCAGTTGCCAGCAGGATTCAAGTTACCCAAGTTTGACTTATATGATGGATATGGTGATCCGATGGCCCACTTAAATGGGTTCTGCAGCAAAATGAGGGGAGCTGGGGGAAGGGACGAGTTATTGATGGCTTACTTCAGTCAAAGTCTAAGTGGAGCAGCCTTGGAGTGGTACACACGATAGGATCATGCTCGATGGTAAACTTGGGACGATCTGGCCCAAGCATTTGCATGTCATTTGCAGTACAATCTCGAAATTGTCCCGGACCGTCTGTCACTGACTAAAATTGAGAAGAAGCCCGGAGAAAGCTTCAGAGAATATGGTTTCCGGTGGAGAGAGCAGGCGGCAAGAGTCGATCCTCCAATGAAAGAGAGCGAGATGGTTGATTATTTCCTACAGGCTTTGGAGCCCACCTACTATGGTCACCTGGTGTCAGCAGTGGGAAAATCTTTCAACGAGGTAGTGAAAATGGGAAGTATGGTGGAAGAGGGTCTCAAGTCTAACAAGATTATGAGTTATTCGGCGATCAAGGCAACTACCCAGGCTATTCAGAGCGGCACTGCAGGAGTATTGGGAAAGAAGAAGAAAGAAGAGGTTGCAGTAGTGGAAGCGAGAGCTTGGTCCAGAGGTCCATCACCATATTATCACCAACCTCGCCCTCATCCCCAAACCTACCCACACACCCCATATGGCCCACCGCAACACTACTACCTACCGCCTGTCCCCAATTTCTCTGTCCACCATGCCCAAACATACCCCCAACCTCCTACCCATGCACAATGGCGCGCACCCACCCCACAAAATACTTACCCAGCTCAAAACACCTACCCACCCCCGAGAACCAACAGAAATCCCACTGGAACCGGTTTTCGACCTAACCCTGCATTTAAGAATGATAGGCTGCAAAAGAAGAAGACTTTCACTCCATTGGGTGAATCTTACACTAGCTTGTACCACAGATTGAGACAGTTGGGCATGTTGAGTCCGATTGAACCCAAATTGCCAAATCCTCCCCCAAGGAATCTGGACCACTCTGTGAGTTGTGAGTATTGCTCAGGTGCGCCGGGACATGACACAGAAAAATGCTGGCACTTGAAAACGGCCATCCAGGAGCTCATTGACACCCGCCGAATTGAAGTGCAAGCCCCAGAAACGCCTAACATCACACAAAATCCATTTTCAACCCATCACGAGACCCATATGATTGAGCTAGTCCAAAAGGGAGAGCATAAGAAGCCGTCACAAACCGTAATGATGACCAGGCTAGTGAGGATAGATGAAATGAGAAACTAACAAAGGGGAGAGCATTGATCAAGGTAGAAGAAACAGTTAGCAAACCAGTTGTAGTGATAAAGAAGGAGCTTTTGAGCAGTGTTGCAGAAAAACAAGAACCGGCTAAAGTGTAGTGTCGGGGGAAGCTGTCAAGCCCGTTGTGATTGTAAAAGGGGCTCGCACAGAGCCGGTTGTCATCAAGCCAGTGACTCAGTTACCAGTAATCAGTGAAAAGGCCGTCCCATGGAATTACGGCCGAGTGACAGTGACGTATAAGGGGAAGGAAGTTAAGGAAGAAGTTTGTGAAACCCATGGGCTGACTCGCTCAGGAAGATGCTTTGCTCCTGACGAGCTGAGAAAGGCTAAAATCACCAAAGATAATCCAGTACCAGTAAAGAAAGCTGTAACTAAAGAAGAGGCAGAAGAATTCTTGAAGAAGATGAAGGCACAAGATTATTCCATTGTAGAACAGTTGAGAAAGACCCCGGCACAGATCTCATTGCTATCATTACTAATCCACTCAGATGAGCACCGCCAGGCATTGATGAAAATTTTGAATGAAGCCCATGTTCCTGATAAGATTTCTGTGAACCATCTAGAGAAAATAGCAAACAAGATTTTTGAAGTCAATAGGGTTACATTTTCTGATGATGAGCTGCCTTTGGAAGGCACTGAGCATAATAGAGCACTCTACCTCACGGTGAAATGTGAAGACTCTGTGGTCACCCGGGTGCTGGTTGATAACGGGTCCAGTGCAAACATTTGCCCTCTCTCCACCCTGGAAAAGTTAAAGGTGGACAGTGAGAGAATCCACAAGAATAGTATTTGCGTGCGAGGATTTGATGGAGAAGGCAAGGACACAGTTGGGGATATAGTGTTGGAACTGACGATAGGTCCGGTTGAATTCACTATGGAGTTCCAGGTGCTCGACGTGGCCGTCTCTTACAATCTCTTGTTAGGCCGACCCTGGATCCATGCAGCAAAAGCAGTGCCATCTACCTTGCACCAGATGGTTAAATTCGAGTGGGACAGGCAAGAGATTGTGGTGCATGGGGAAGATAGTTCGTGTACTCTGGGTGGTGCCATTGTGCCTTTCATAGAAGCTGAGGATGACAAAGGTCCATGGGTTTATCAAGTCTTTGATACGGTATCGGTTGAAAAGATCCCGGAAGGGAAGTGTATTCCTGTGCCAAAGGTAGCTGCTGCATCCGTCATGGTTGCGTCGGAAATGCTGAAGAACGGATTTGTACCTGGAAAAGGCTTGGGTGCTTCTTTACAAGGCATCGTACAGCCGGTATCCCTTCCTGCAAACCTGGATACTTTTGGTTTAGGCTTCAAGCCCACTGCTGCAGACATAAGGCGAGCTAGAAAGAATGAAAAAGAAAGCATGGACCCTTCCAAAACCTATTCCCCGCCTTTCCCGTTCCTTTGTCAGGCCTGGTACTAAGAAGCGCCTAGCAACAGCAATGCCCAGTGGTGTGGTTGATCCCGACGATGAGCTGATTGAGAGGTTTGAAAAGCTGTTTGATGAGGTGAATGTGTTAGAGGTCGGAGAAGGTCCAAACAAGGCATATGTTTTGTTCGTGGGGCCCCAGGCAAAGCTTAACAGTTGGGAAGCAACTCCCCTTCCTACTCGGAGGGAGTCTTGGTAGTTAGTTTTGATTTCCTTTGAGTTTAATCTGGATTATTTCCAAGGTTGTAATTTGGATGCTATGTTCCGTCCGTTTGGATGAGTTAAACCTTGTTATCTTAAATGTTAATGAAATGCAATTTCCTCCTTTTTCATTCCTGATAGTTTTTATTTTGTCTTTCTTTTCCTTCTTGTACAGTCCCTTTTACGCTGGTTTCAGTGATGTGTCATGCATGAGGAGTCTTCAGCCCAGTCTTAAATGCCAATCTAACTCAGACATAATAATACAAGAAATTGAGTGTGATGACGAAATAGAATATGATGATGAGGAAGCTTTTGAGGAAATCAGTAAAGAATTAAGCCATTTTGAAGAAAAACCCAAACCTAATCTGAATGACACAGAGGCAATCAATTTAGGGGATCAGGAGAATGTGCGGGAAACGAAAATAAGTGTCCATTTGGAACCTCAGCTCAGAGAAGAGATAATTAAAGCACTGTTTGAGTACAAAGATGTTTTTGCATGGTCATATGACGACATGCCAGGTTTAAGCACTGATTTGGTGGTCCACAAATTGCCCACCGACCCAGCATGCCCTCCTGTCAAGCAGAAGCTAAGGAAATATAAAACAAACATTAGTGTGAAAATCAAAGAAGAGGTCACCAAGCTGTTTGAGGCAAAGTTCATCCGGGTCACACGGTATCCAACCTAGTTAGCCAATGTTGTGCCTGTGCCAAAGAAGGATGGAAAGACCAGCGTGTGCGTAGATTACCGTGACCTCAATAAGGCGAGTCCAAAAGAAAATTTCCCACTGCCAAACATCCATATATTGATCGAAAATTGTGCCAAACATGAGGTTAGTTCCTTCGTAGATTGTTATGCGGGCTATCACCAGATTTTAATGGATGAGGAGGATGCGGAAAAAATGGCATTCATCACTCCTTGGGGAACGTATTGCTATAGGGTCATGCCATTTGGGTTGAAGAACGCAGGGGCAACGTATATGAGGGCGATGACCACCATGTTCCATGACATGATACATCGGGAAATTGAGGTCTATGTAGACGACGTGATCATAAAGTCGAGGAAACAATGTGACCATGTCAAGGACTTGAGGAAATTCTACCAGAGACTCCGCAGGTACAACCACAAACTTAATCCAGCAAAGTGTGCATTTGGAGTCCCATTTGGGAAGTTGTTGGGGTTTATGGTGAGTCGACACGGCATTGAGTTAGACCCGTCCAAGATCAAAGCCATTCAGGAGCTACCACCGCCAAGGAACAAGAAAGAGGTGATGAGTTTGCTTGGCAGGTTGAATTACATCAGCAGGTTCATTGCCCAGCTCACAACGACTTGCGAGCCCATCTTTAAGCTGCTAAAGAAAGATGCTGCGGTCAGATGGACGGATGAATGTCAAGCAGTATTTGACCAGATTAAGGAGTATTTGGCTAGTCCACCTATGTTGGTCCCGCCGGAGCCGGGAAGACCCTTGATCCTTTATCTGACAGTTTTGGATAATTCTTTTGGTTGTGTATTGGGGCAGCATGACATCACAGGAAAGAAAGAACAGGCGATTTAGTACCTCAGCAAGAAGTTCACATCATATGAGGTGAAGTACACTCAACTTGAGAGGACGTGTTGTGCCTTAACCTGGGTAGCGCAGAAGTTGAAACATTACTTATCAGCATATACCACCTATCTCATCTCTCGGTTAGACCCGTTGAAGTACATTTTTTAGAAACCCATGCCCACACGGAGGCTGGCGAAATAGCAAATCTTGCTTACGGAGTTTGATATTGTCTACGTGACCCGGACTATAATGAAAGCACAAGAGCTGGCTGATCATTTGGCCGAAAATCCAGTTAATGATGAATATGAACCTTTGAAAACATACTTCCCCGATGAGGAGATAATGCATGTTGAAGAAATAGAACAAGTCGAGAAGCGAGGATGGAAACTGTTCTTTGATGGAGCTGCCAACGCCAAGGGTGTCGGGATAGGAGCAGTACTGATTTCTGAGACAGGGCAACACTACCCTGTCACTACTCAACTTCGTTTCTATTGCACCAATAACATGGCTGAATACGAGGCATGTATCTTGGGTTTGAGATTGGCTATAGACATGGGTGTCCAGGAAATCTTGGTCATGGGTGACTCGGATCTTCTGGTACACCAGATTCGCGGTGAATGGGAGACACGAGATTTGAAGCTCATACCGTACCGGTAGTGTTTGCATGAACTTTGTCAACAGTTTCAATCAATAGATTTCAGGCATATTCCAAGGATTCACAATGAGGTTGCCGACGCTTTGGCCACTTTGGCGTCAATGTTGCATCATCCAAACAAGGCTTATGTGGACCCGTTACAAATTCAGGTCCGAGATCAGCATGCCTATTGTAATATGGTGGAAGAAGAGCTTGATGGTGAGCCGTGGTTCCATGATATCAAAGAATACCTCCGGATTGGAGTGTATCCAACACAGGCCACGGGGGATCAAAAGAGAGCAATTCGACGCCTGGCAAGCGAATTTTTCTTCAGTGGAGGAGTGTTGTACAAGAGAACCCCAGATCTTGGATTATTGAGATGCATGGATGCTAAACAGGCTACAGTTATCATGGCCGAGGCACATGCGGGAGTTTGTGGACCTCATATGAGCGGATATGTATTGGCAAAGAAGATTCTCCGAGCGGGCTATTATTGGCTTACTATGGAACGGGAGTGCATCAGTTTCGTGCGCAAGTGTCATCAATTTCAGGTACATGGAGATTTGATTCATTCTGCACCATCTGAATTACATACAATGTCGGCACCATGGCCGTTCGTTGCTTGGGGAATGGATGTCATTGGGCCGATCGAGCCAGCGGCGTCAAATGGGCACAGGTTCATTCTGGTAGCTATTGATTATTTCACTAAGTGGGTTGAAGCAAAAACCTTCAAATCTGTGACCAAGAAGGCAGTGGTCGATTTTGTGCATTCAAATATAATCTGTCGGTGTAGGATCCCGAAGGTAATTATCACGGACAATGGGGCAAATCTCAACAGTCATCTAATGGCAGAGACATGTCAGCAGTTTAAGATCACGCACCGCAATTCCACCCCATATCGTCCTAAGGTGAATGGAGCAGTCGAAGCAGCTAACAAGAACATCAAGAAAATACTTCGGAAAATGGTAGAAGGGTCCAGGCAATGGCATGAGAAGTTACCTTTCGCCCTTTTAGGCTATCGCACTACTGTCCGTACTTCAGTAGGGGCGACTCCTTATTCACTGGTGTATGGCACTGAGGTAGTAATACCCGCAGAGATTGAAATCTCGTCCCTTCGGATTATTGCCAAGGCGGAAATTGATGATGTCGAATGGGTTAAAGCCTGCTTGGAACAACTAAGTTTGATTGATGAAAAGATATTGGCAGCAGTATGTCACGGTCAGTTGTACCAACAGAGAATGGCAAGAGCATATAATAAGAAAGTGCGTCCGCGGAAGTTTGAAGTAGGGCAATTGGTGTTGAGGCGTATCTTACCTCATTGGGCTGAGGCAAAAGGAAAGTTCGCCCCGAACTGGCAGGGGCCATTTGTTGTAACCAGAGTGTTGTCCAATGGCGCATTATATTTGACAGATGTGGAAGGAAAATGTGTAGAAATGGCTAACAACTCTGATGCAGTTAAGCGATATTATGTATGATTTCTTGGTTTAATTGTACTTTATTGTATTTGGCATATTTTTGAGATTGAAATGACGAAGGCATTTTGTTTTGCTATCCAAACACTTTATCCTTTGTTACCCCTTTTGAGCCTCATTTACTTTCTTTCGTACTCCTCTTTCGGAATCAATAACAACTTGGGAACTCGCGCAAGGAAAATCAGTGAAGAAACAAGAAAACACAGTCCAAAAGAAAAGATAAAAAAAAGAAGAAAAGAAGACAAAAGAAAAAAGAAAAAAAAAGAAGAAAAGAAGACAAAAGAAAATAAAAAGGAAAAAAAAAGAAAAATGAAGAAAAGAAAAGAAAGAAAAGAAATGAAAAGAAAGAAAAGAAAGTGGAAGAAAAGGAAAGATTGCAACAACAAAGTAATTCCTATGACCTGAACTACGTTTGACTTGATCCCGAAAGGGTACGTAGGCAGCCTCTCCCTGAGGTTCAGTCACATCAAAACAAAATCCCAAAAGTCCCCATAAAAGAAACTGGGGCAGCAGTTATGGTTGTGCAAGAAAGTTGATTCCGAAAGTTGTAGTTGTGAACCCACATTGAATTGTTTTAGAGCCTTTGATACCCTTTCTTTCTAACCCTATCCAAAAGCCTACATTACGGTCCAAAGAAAGACCTTTTGATCAGTCTTCAGGAAGTGCCAATACGAGCAAGTAAAAGTGATTCACGTCAGGGGCAACACTCCGGTGCAGGGAAAAAATGATAAAAATGAGAGAGTCTTATTGGTGAAAACCCTCACGAGCACCGTAAGGCGAAGTGAGTCGAGAAAAATAAAAAAAGAGAGAGTCTTATTGGTGAAAACCCTCACGGGCACTGTAAGGCGAGGTGAGTTGAGAGAAATAAAAAATGAGAGAGTCTTATTGGTGAAAACCCTCACGAGCACCGTAAGGCGAAGGTGAGCTTTTCAGACAGGCAAATGAGACGCGTCTGTAGTCAAAAGCTGCTCAAGACGTTGCAGGAAGAGCAAGATTTGGGTTTGGGTGAAACTCAAGTTGTGAAACTCTGGAACAACAAATGTGGCAAACGAAAGTTGATTGGTTAGATGGACTGGGCTGGTCAATCCAACTGCATGGCATACTCAATGGTACCAGCTGTTCCACTCAGATAAGTCTCATTTTCTTCTTTCTTCATTACAAATCATCCGTTCTCGGATTCTCTTTATCCTTAACCCTCGAGGTTGTTGCATTTCATTCTTTCGAGGTCTATCTTTAAGATGTTTCAGTGTCAGTTCTGTTCGAAACAAAAGGAAGGAACGTCAAGGCTAACTACCAGCTTCCTAGTTGTACAGACAGGGCCAGAGTATATCAAGGATGTCAAAAGCAAAGTAAGTCATAAAGGACCACTGGAAGTGTCATCGGTGGATTAATCGATAATTGTGGGGAAGAAGCGAAGTTTCAAAAGAGGGGTCAGAAACACAAAAGCAACAATATGGGATAGAACACTTGGGTCATTAGAGTTAAGAGGTTGAAATTCGGCCAGGAAGTCAAGAAGATTCAAGGCAAGGCCAGGAAAACGGGACGGCGAGGAGCCCAGCAGCAGGGATGTACCTAGCAAGAATGCCAGCAACTAGCCACCATTTTTTAAAATTGACAAGATTTTTCTTTGATTGAAACAGGGGTAGAAACTTCGGAGAAACCCCCGTAAGGAAAGATAGCACCCAAACAGGTATGACTGGAAACTCTCAGGACCCTCCTGGAAAATGGGACTTAGCTTACATTTCAAAGCAATCATGAGTAGCATAATTTAGCACAAATGTATCCTAAAGAACATAGGTTGCCTGTTTAAGATAGGATTCAATTAGGAGTTGTCAGGACCCTCCTGAATGATGGGACAGAGTTTTAAGACCTCCTTTAGGTAACAAGATACTGTTTAGCCGTAGAATTGGCACATTTAAGATGAGACTTGAGTTTTGATTTTTCAGGACCATCCTGGATAATGGGACGCAGTTTTAAGGTCTGCTTAGATAACACGATATAGATAACAAGGTCCGCTTAGGTTAAAATTGTTTTTTTTTAAACTAGAAGTTGTCAGGACGCGCCTGGATAATGGGAAGTAGTTTAAGACCTTTTAGACAACAAATGTAGTGGTAGTAACACATTTGGAAGATATAACTTAGGTTCGTAATCAGGACCTCCCTGGATAATAGGACTTAGCTTTCACATGCTTATAATAGTTGGTAGAATAATTTAATTTACACTCACATATGCGCCCAGCCACCAAACTGGGGCAGGAAATGTTCTTTGTTTTCTTTATTTGTTGCAGTCAGGAGCCCACCTGGAGAACAAGGGAATACTTTCCAAGCATCAGCAGTCAGGAGCCCACCTGGAGAACAAGGGAATGCTTTCCAAGTGTTGCAGTCAGGAGCCCACCTGGAGAACAAGGGAATATTTCAAATTTCAGTAGTCAGGAGCCCACCTGGAGAACATGGGGAGTACAATTCCAATGTTTGCTTTTAGTATTTGATAACGTGCTGTACCCGGTCACCAAACTGGAGCAGAGAATCTTCGTTGCTTGTTTTGTCGCGGTCAGGAGCCCACCTGGAGAACAAGGAAATACATTTCACGTTCAGCAGTCAGGAGCCCACCTGGAGAACAAGGGAATACTTTTCAAGCTTCAGCAGTCAGGCGCCCACCTGGAAAACAAGGGAAGTACAATTCAAATTCTATCCATTAATTTTAATATCTGATAACATGATGCGCCCAGCCGCCGCACTGGGGCAGAAAATTTTTCTTTGTTCGTCTGTTTTGTTGCAGTCAGGAGCCCACCTGGAGAACAAGGGAATACTTTTCAAGCTTCATCAATTAGGAGCCCGCCTGGAGAATAGAGGCACACATTTCAAACTTCAACAAGTCTAGCATCACGGAGAGGAACGGCAAAACATCTCCACTCACAATGCAAGGCAACAACGCAAGAATTCCAGTGGAAGAATACAAGTTCAAGGCAACACAAAGAGCAAGTTAGAAGACATAGATAGGACCCTTTTCGTAATTCATAGATCATATCTTAGGCTAGCTTCTTTTAACATGGTGTAATAAGGAGGTCAGCAAGCAGTAGCAGCAGCAACAACAGTGAAATCACAGCCCTGGTAGTCCTAGCTACCAAACCTTCCAGAACTACACTGACCTGATTCCTTTATAGCCAAGTATATGTAGGCAACCTTTGAAGCAGGGTTCGGTCAGACAGTTTTCAAAATGCTTCTCATGGAGTACTAAGCAGGCAAAAATCTCTCATAGTTGCTCACTTATCTTTGCACGAAAACTCTTCGTGTTTCCGAGCAAAGAGGGGCAGCTGTGAGCACGTGATTTTTGCCTCGCTTGAACTATTCCTATAAAACTCTTAAAAATTAGGACTTTTTCTTTAGTATTTGATTTTAGGGAATTAATTGCATGATGCTTGTTTTGTTTGCATTTTTGTGCGCATTTTTAGTTGTCATAAAAAAATAAAATGAAAAAATAAAAAAAATTATTACAAAATAGCATACTTGCATTTAGGACCCAATTCTAGATTTTTAGATTAATCAACATCATTGAAACTAAGAGAAAATAATTAAAAATAGTCCTTTGCATTGTTTTACTTTTAATTTTGATTTTTTCTTAAGTTTTCTTTTTAAAACTAGGATTTGTTTAATTTTTGAGAATTAATTAGTTTTAATTTTAGAGTTTAAATCAGGTCATGTTTATTTATAATTTTGTACTTAATAAAATCTAAAATTTGTGAATAAGAAAAGGAAGAAAAGAAGAAAACAAATAAAAAAAATTCAATTAATTAAAAAGAACGAATTTTTAGGCTGTTGTGTTTGGGCCATTTTAATTCATTATCCCAAAGCGAAAAACCCCCAAAACTGGACCAAACACCCAGCCCAAATTACACCCAAACCCGGTCCAGCCCCGTATTAATAAAACGACACTGTTTTGTTAAGTGTCAATCCTGGCCGTCGAGGATCTTTGATCCTACGTTCAGGAACTATGTTAATTTTAATATAAAAATGCCGGATAACCCTACCCTCCCCCCCCCGCCCCCGAGGTCATCTCTCTAATTCCCCACTCTAACCAGAGAACTCCCCACCGGTGCCGCCCTAAACCGCCGCCGGAAATTGCTCACGGCGGCGGTCAAGCTCCAAATTTGCTCAAATTTACACCCCTGCACCGTCTTAACCTCCTCAATACAAATCTGTGATTAATTCTCCTCAAATCCCAATCAAACGCCTCAAACACTTGAAACCCTAGGCGCCGCCACCACCGTGCACGGCGGCACCGCCACCGAAATCCGTCCAAATTAACACCCTTGAACCGCCTTCATCTCCCCTCCCCAAACCCCAAACCCCGTCCCTCGAACCCTCACCAAACTCCTCAAATATCAAATCGAAAATCCGGC